ATGTTGAAGGTGAATGTGCGAAGTGCACAGACGTCATTCCAACGTTTGCAGAATTTAGCATTCACATGTTAGGAGACTGAGAAAAGAAAAAAAAAGAAAGGCTGAAAATAAAAAAATATATATATTTGTTGTATTTTTCATGAACATAGGCAAAGCGAAAAAAAAACATGCAATTTTTTTAGCTGAACACGTTTTCATTTCGCCAGTGAAAGGAACGTTAAAAACGACATAAGTATTTAAGTAAACAAAAATCAAGTAAGAAGTAAAAAAAATAAATAAATAATGAGAAAATAAAAGGTTTAAAAAAAAAACAACTATTTTATTCGACATCTTGAATTCTTTATAAAATATTAAAAAAAAAAAATTAAGGAAAATAATTTTTTAAAAGTTTCGTGATTTATGATTTGCCCAGAACTCTCCACATATGACAAAACCTAGTCTGACACAAGGCCAAAACTACCGATTGCATAGGATCGAACTCACTTGTATTGGCTTCAAACAGTGACTTACAAACTGTGCGCGAGTCATATTTAACTTCGTCTAACACAAATCATAAATGATAATCTTTCCTTTCAATATCTATTGGGGCTGAAGCCTACCTGAGATCTCAAGTGGAATAATTGAAACAAAACGAATAATTCCTTTTTTATTTCCTTTTTTTCGTATTTTTCCAATGAAACATGACCCAGTGCACATGGTAGTACTTCGTATGTCCATTCCATGAAGTCTTTCCTTGCAGATTGACCACATATTCTAGATTGGATTCAAATCAGGAGAGTTTCCAACTCTCCCCATAGTACTTTGATTTGCTCACTGGTAAGGCTAGCAGTGTTACAATTTTAGTACGCCTTCTTGGAGTAACACCCAACGCAGACAACTGCCGTAAAACAACTAATCGACAGTCGAGACAATAGTGTTTGGGCGTGATAAAAATCTGATGCAATCACGGATGACGGAATATTTTTCAAGGCCAAAAAAATTTCATCATACACCCCGAAAATAGATTCATATTATTTAACACTATTGCAATTGGTCTAATCTGGGGAAAAGACAGAAATCGATTACCCCTTGTCACGCCAGTGGGGCTAAAACTGGTCGAATGGTATATATGATCTGAGGCTAAAGATGTTGGAAAATGATCGGTTCCTAGTATCGTCCCAGAAAATATCCGAATCCAGGAACTTCATAAGAGTCAAATCAGAACAAACAAGGTGTATTGATGCCATATATGGAATGTAGAAGAATAATACACAGTTTTCCAGTGTTGATAGAATTCAAAATTCTTTACACGGTCTTATAGAAGATGCCTAATATTTTTAAATTACAGCCTCTTACCCACAGACTTAACATTGTAAGCCCATTACTAGTCTATCGCTATTTCCATGGCAAATGTTCAGACGAGCTCCACCAACATTACAGCTAGGACCCTCCATACTACAAACACTGCTCCGACTCATTCTTTTTCCCTTCGTCTTCCATTGGTAAGAAGGAAATTAAACACAGGCAGCCTCTTCCCTTGAACTGTGATTTCGTGGGACAGACTCCTGAGATGGAGCTTCCACGATGACTACGATCTTAGCCTCTAGGATCACGCTTTATCTATCCTACATATCCTCATAATGTGCACTTCTTTCTATTCTTGCGCCCTTACAACAAATCTATTCAATAACCCTCTACCTTGAGGGCTCTTCGGCCTTACAGTCAGTGAACAATAGTATAAATATAGAGAACCAACTGGCTGTCAAACTTATTCTTAATGAATTTCGAACAATGGAAGTGGGCGTGACGCATAACAGATAAAAAGATAGCAGATGGAGCAAAAGGTTTTTTTTCTTTGGTGATCAATAGATGACAAGCTCAAACGAATTACAAGATGGAGAGATTGGATCAATGATTCCCAACGGGGAGCGCATGCCCCACCGGTGGTGCATGGTAAGATTTTGGTGGGGCATGTCTAGGATGTGCACCCTTCGTCTTACTATACCAACAAAATAAGGAGGCTATTCGAGAATAAGTTATTAACAGTGAATTGTTTTCTAGTGAGTTCAAATTTCATTTTGCATAATTATTTCATAATTAAAATGATCAAAAGTATATTCCAGAATAAGTTTTCATTCAAATATTTTATATTTCTGCCTTTCAGTTCTCTATTATATATTTTGAAATTATATATATTTAACTGTCTTTTTGGGATCTGTCTATATTTCTGAGATGAGGTATTATGTACACTATTTACATTATTCGGACTATTGTCCTCATCTTTGTCGCCATATTTATTACAACGTTTCGGCCGTTGTACGCTCCGGCCTTCTTCAGGTTGTTGGAACTGACGCCTTTATCCACTGTGCCATATGTCCTCAAGTGGATAAAGGCGTTAATTAGATCCAGTGACAGGACCCAAAGAGTGTGAGTTCAATACCCGGTTAAGGCAATGGAGAACTTGGAGAGGGGAATTAACAGGAGATAACTGATAACTGACATCCATTAAACTAGAACAGTTTACCACAGTTAGCGAAATAAAGGGTTCCGTTCGACATTCCAACCACCTGAAGAAGGCCAGAGCGTACAACGGCCGAAATATTGTAATGGACGCCATGGTCTTTGGAGGCTTGTTTAGACACCAAGCTTCCTTCACGTCAATTGCAGTAAAATTTTGAATATGTAAGAATTAAATATTATGGGGGGGGCACCAGAATTTTAGAAATATCAAAGTGGGACATGGCCCTAAATCGGTTGCGAACCACTGGATTAGATAAAAGGGTTTGCTAGTAAAACATAGCAAAGAATAACACAGTCATGGTTGCCATGGAATGATTTAAGAAAGACTTTTGTTTTGTTGAGAAATCGTAATGGCTGATGAAGATGACACGATCTCGTAAACCATTAGGATTATAGACACACCATATGCACTGCAGCTGTTATAGTAAAGAATGTGTTTAGCTTGACGGAAGTCATCCATCTTTAAATCCAGTTGTAGCCCTGGGTATGACGATAAACTACATCCGGCAGCAAGGCCTCTGATCAGGTGATTAGAGGTTTTGAAGAGCATGGAACCACCTCTTAACTGTTGTTGATCCCAGGTTCACCTTGATACGGAGTGTTAGCACCTGTTAGGGTTCAAGCTATGGGCAAATATTGAACCACCCACCAAACAAAAACAAAATACTATGTAAGTATTAAAATATATTTTTATAGTAAAGATACCAGAAATATTTATTGCCAACAATACATCAACCAACATGAAAGAAGTCTTTCATGGCATTAATCCATATAATATTTTATAATTTCTTAAAGAAATTAAGCTGTATTCCAAATATAACTTCAACAGAACTACAACATAAAACACACATATCACCGCTTCTAGTAATCATGTCCACACAAACATATATATGTACAAAATCTGAGTATCCTCTACCATGTATTCAATTGTAAAAGCAGAATAACATATATGTTTTTATTACTTCAAAGCATGCAAAAAAATTAAATTTCGCCATTAAATGATCCATAAGTTGTTGATATGCCGTTAAACAAATCAAATCAAATCAATTAAATACAATTGTTTTTCCCGTAAACTAGTAGCCCTACGAAGATTTTTTTGGGGGGATTTTATTTAAGAGTTTATCCAATCCTAGATTCTCTCTCACTAAAACAAAGCTATTTAACCCATACCCAGAGGAAGATGGATTCATATCTTTTCCAGTTTTCTTTACTACAACAGTCGATATAGAGTAAGACAGCCTAAAAGAGAGCACCTCCTTCTGAGTGGTTTTGAATTCAGAGTTTAACTCTTAGATTGTTGCCCTACCACGGGTAAAGAATACAGTCTGCCCTATTATTTAAAAGTGTCTGAATTTAAAGTTTTCATTCTTCAAGACCGGTTGCCATCTGTTCTGCTATTTAGGCCAGTAAAAAAAAAGTAGAAGCCGGGGGTCAAAGTTTGAACTCCTTATGTCGATTACACTTTTCTCGTTGTTAACCATCACGCTACATGCAAATGTCAGATGTGCCAAATTTTACAAGTCTGAACTCTTAATGGCTACAGGATCACCTTACATGTTGTTCAGTCTGTTAACGTTGATAAGAAGCATTCCAAACTTTGGTTCTTTTGACAGATTTTGGAGGACCTACAAAGGGCATCGGTTTCAAAAACGGGAAAGGAAGACTGAGAAAATTCCACTTTTTAAATTTAGTAAAGTTTAATTCCACACCTTTTCTTGTTGTTTTTGTTGTTGCTTTTGTTGTTGTTATGGGTTTTCTTCTTTTTCTTCTTTTTCTACTACTACTACTACTATTTCTTCTTCTTCTTCTTCTTCTTCTACTACTACTACTACTACCATTTCTTCTACTACTACCACTACTACTACTACTACTATTTCTTCTTTTTTATTCTACTTCTTCCACTACAACTACTACTATTCCTTCTTCTTCTTCTTCTTCTTCTACTACTACTACTACTACCATTTCTTCTACTACTACCACTACTACTACTACTACTATTTCTTCTTTTTTATTCTACTTCTTCCACTACAACTACTACTATTCCTTCTTCTTCTTCTTCTTCTTCTTCTTCTTCACTACTACTACTACTACTATTTCTTCTTCTTTTCCATCACTTTTTCTACTTATTTTTATTTTTTTACAATTACTTCTTCTTCGTCTTCTTCCTCGTCTACTTCTTCTACTGCTATTTTTCTTCTTCCTCTTCTATTTCTCCTTCTTTTTCCACTACTAATACTTTTTCTGCTACTACTACTACTGCTAGTTCTTTTTTTTTCTACTACTTCTTTTACTTTTTCTCTTTCTTCTTCTTCTACTGCATCTTCTTTTACTATTTTTCTTTATCTTCTATTACTACTACTATTACTAATATTTTTCTTCCTTTCCTACTTTCACTATTTCTTCTTCTTTTCCTACTACTATTACTACTACTACTACTACTACTATTTCTTCTTCTTCGTCTTTTCTTCTTCTTCTTCGTCTTTTCTTCTTCTTCTTCTTAGTCTTTTCTTCTTCTTCGTCTTTTCTTCTTCTTCTTCTTCTTCGTCTTTTCTTCTTCTTCTTCTTCGTCTTTTCTTCTTCTTCTTCTTCGTTTCTTCTTCTTCTTCGTCTTTTCTTCTTCTTCTTCGTCTTTTCTTCTTCTTCTTCGTCTTTTCTTCTTCTTCTTCGTCTTTTCTTCTTCTTCGTCTTTTCTTCTTCTTCTTTTTCTTCTTCTTCGTCTTTTCTTCTTCTTCTTCTTCTTCTTCTTCGTCTTTTCTTCTTCTTCGTCTTTTCTTCTTCTTTTCTTCTTCTTCTTCTTCTTCGTCTTTTCTTCTTCTTCGTCTTTTCTTCTTCTTTTCTTCTTCTTCTTCTTCTTCGTCTTTTCTTCTTCTTCTTCTTCTTCTTCTTCTTCTTCGTCTTTTTCTTCTTCTTCTTCTTCTTCTTCTTCTTATTATTATTATTATTATTCCCAATCCCATTTGCCTGTCATCTAGTTATTTCTAGTATCAATATACAAGGCTGGATTTAATAAATCTTGTATCTGACACGTAATTCTTAACTGCCTTTCCTGATCTGAAATATTCATATTCTAAAATCTACCCTTAAATTAAATGCCTTGACAAGTAAGGAGATTCTCTTGTAATGGGCAGAACACGTGAACAAAGAAAAGGTTTCACGGAAACTAGGAACTTCCAGGAAACGTATACTTACAATTAGAATGAGGCAGTTGACATTTCTGGGATAGATAATGAGGAAAGAAGGATTAGTTATGAGAAGCCAGGAGGAAACAGAAAGTAACCTACTTAATTAGTTTGGGTGAAAAAAAAGACACGGTCGATTATATCCTAAAAGGTCATGTCATACAAAAAAAAAAAAATTCTAAAGGCAAATTATTCCAGCACTCGTATATTTTATCAATAACATTCATATATTGTAGTCAAAGGTTGCCGAGTGTCCTACCGAATCAAATACTTTTTCATAGTCAATAAGGTTAAAATAAAGTAGTATGATATATTCTGTCATTTTTAAATTATTAATGTTACTTGGTCTATTCTGTGGGGTTTATTTTTGAGCAGTAAGGTTCATCCTGTACAAGGGACGGGAGGCACTCGAGGTAGTTTATACGGATAGGATTGGAAGATAACGGTTAGCTCTAGACTTGAACAGGTAAGAAATATCCTCTTGGGAGTTTGTTCCATAGAGCAATGGTTCGCGGGAAAAATCTGTTTCTAATTTACTTTTCACCGATGGAATACGAAAAGAATGTGGCTGCTTTGCTACAATGTCAGTGGCATGGCGGGTCATAACCGTGGAGGTTAGACCTGTACAGACGAGTTACCAAAGAGAAAAGTTCATCAAAACAATTACCATGAAAATATGGTAAATTTTCAGATTAACGCGCCGGAAACCAATTGTAATGAAAATTTTCCACTCTGGTGTGAAATTGTCTGATTAATTTCAAAATAACAATAAAAGTTTGCCGAAGAAAATCGTTTAGGAGTTATCGACAATATAACTTCGGCCTTATTCGCGTCTGGCCTGATTACCATTACTGGCGTTGTTTACATACATTTGTCTCGATTAGGAATGCGTGGAAGCTTACTTAGTTAACGGACTTTTTACTGATCTTACTATGTTCTTACTTGTCTTGATTACTGCGCAATTAGCGAAATTTAATTTAAGGTTTGCACATTTCGCAGTAATCAAGACAAGTAAAACTTACGGGCATTACTACTCGAAGCAAACTTATGTAAACAAAGCCAGTAATGGCGGCCGGGCTGTAACCGCGACGCGAATGAGGCCGAACTTATACTGTCAATAATTCCTAAACGGTTTTCTTCCGAAAACTTTTATTGTTATTTTCGAAATAAGCATGCAAATTCACACCAGAATGGACATTTTCATTATAATTGTTACTACACTAGGCAAATATATGTAAACAAAGCCAGTAATGGTGGCCGGGCTGTAACCGCGACGCGAATGAGACCGAACTTATATTGTCGATAACTCCTAAACGGTTTTCTTCCGCAATTTTTTATTGTTATTTTCGAAATAAGCATGCAAATTTACATCAAAATGGACATTTCATTACAATTGTTTTCTGGGGCTTAATCTGCAAATTTACCGAAAATATTTATAGAAAAGACAGAGAGAAGCTACGTTAATTTAATAATTGAACACTAGTAGATGACATGAAGCCGATTAGCAGGTTTCTGTACTGGTGATTGCTTAGACGTATACACAAACTGAGGCCATCTCCTATACAATACATGTTCACCTTCAGTCTAACAGCATCATTGGGACTCGTAGGTTGCTGGATAATTGATTTTGCCAGATTACTGATGATTATATTAGAATACACTTATCCCGACAGCAAACCTCTTCATCGTACTATTAAAATACTTCGTAAATCAGAATATGTTGGTTAATAAAGGAAAAAGAAAAATTAAATAAAAGTGTAGTAAAATTTAAATGAAAACTAGTCAAATAAAAGTCACAAGAAATTCTGTTGACTTCCATGAGAAAGTTCATCAGAAGTTCTACCTTATTTGTTATGGCCAACATATGGTATTTGCAATTTGCGCTGAATGAAGTATTTCCTTATTCAATGGCGTCATGACTGGCGCTAAACGCCAGCGGGTTGTAATAAAAATACACAAAAGACAAGTTGAAATGCCTTACTATTTTTTGAAAGAGCTCGAAATCACTTGGTCTCACGTAAGGGACAGACCCGAGAACTTTCTTATTTTCCTTCTCCTTTTTTAATCGAATTCACCCCATGCAAGCCAGTAAAGCCACTAAGACACAAGGAGTTAATGAGTGTGAAAAAATTAGAAAACCGAAACATTACTAAGAAGCGAAAGCAATAGAAGAGTAATCAGGAAGACATTAGATAACGACTTACATTATATTTAAATTTCTAGATGAGTGAACGTTCAGAACAACTTTCATTTCGCGATTCCATAAGAAATACTGAAATCAATTCAAAAATTCGTCCGGAGAAAACATAACTTTTCAACTTGTGAAGAATACCGCTATCGATATGTCCAAAGCAACAGCCAGAGCCTCACCATTCTTAGCTAAAACTTGATAGACCCAGCAATAATTGTTAATACATCAGCAGTGGACATTATTTACACTAGTCGGACTATTGTCCTCATCTTTGTCGCCATATTTCAACGTTTCGGCCGTTGTACGCTCCGGCCTTCTTCAGGTGGTTGGAATGTCGAACTGAACCCTCAAGGACACATGACACAGTGGATAAAGGCGTTAGTTAGATCCAGTGACAGGACCCAAAGAGTGTGGGTTCAATACCCGGCTAAGTGTAGAACTTTCAGAGCGAAATTAACAGGAGATAACTGATAACTGACATCCATTAAAAATATGGCACGTAGAACTAGAGCAGTCTATACCAGTAAGCGAAATAAAGGGTTCCGTTCGACATTCCAACCACTTGAAGAAGGCCGGAGCGTACAACGGCCGAAACGTTGTAATAAATATGGCAACAAAGATGAGGACAATAGTACGAATAGTGTAAATAATGTACATAATGCCATCTCAGAAATATAGGCATCAGCAGTGGACATAGAAAAGCGAAAGCCACATTGCTTGTCCGAAAGAAGGCCTCGCGATATGAGATGTTTAACCAATTCAGCGTTGATTAGGGCCTCTAGAGATTTACCACAAAGAGCTAGAATGTTAATAGGCCGATAGTTGGAAGGGTGAAACAGTTTATTTGAGTTCTTAAAGAGTGCAAGAACATATGAGAATTTCCAAGAGGCAGGAAAGCAAGAGGTCGCGGGGTATTATGCAGCTGAAAGAGAACAGGAGCCAGTTCGGGGGCACATTTCTTGAGGATTATTACAAGGAGACCATCCATATGCTTTGTGGGGATCCAGATTGGAGATGACAGCATAAACCATAGAAGGGATTATATGCATATCACTCAACAGAGACTTTCTGGAGGATTTGACATTTGAAGTGATCAGTTCGAATAATCTAAACATTTATCATCATTGATCTTGGATCGAATTCATTCCAATAGCAACAACATCCTAGGTTAGGAAATGTTCAAGAAAATCAGCTGGATCTCCTTCAAGCAGATGCGTCCGAGATGTGATCAGCTTGGTGCGCTTTTACTCAGGTGTCAGAAGACGTGGCACCCAGCGAGTAGAAAACTTCGTCATGTCCAGCTCAGAATATTCTCAACGTCTCCCACGGGATATTCTAGTAGGATTGGCTATTTCATTTATAGTCAATCGCCAGTCATTCATTACCATGTGGTGAACAAGATCAATGTTTTCCTCGGTGGTGGCAGTCGCAGGACGTTCAAGACCTTAGGTCAACTTCAAGACTCTCCCCTCCTCTCCTAAATTCAGTTACCCACTTGTTGATAAAGCTGGAGTATCATACCCTAATGTAACAACCATGTCAGCATGAATATCCTTGGAGGCTAACCCCTTCTTCTTCTGCAAGTACTTGATAACGGCACAGTGCCAAATCTTGTCCATTTTCAAGAGAAGTAGTGAACGCTACTAGTTACCTTTGAAGTCTTCTTTGAACAGTCAGATGTCAGTTTACATGGAAAGGAACGATGCAGTTATTCATAAGAAGAGTTGAAATGAATGTATGCAAGATTTCGCAGGTCTGGCATCATTCCTTCATAGTCAGCCCATAAACTTTTCAGCCCACCTTCGTACCTGGAAAGAAACAATGTAGTTATTAATAAGAAGAGTTGAAATGAATGTATGCAAGATTTCGCAGCTCTGGCATCATTCCTTCATAGTCAGCCTATAAAATTTTCAGCCCACTCTCATATATCAAAAGAAAGCAAACCTTTTTGTTTTCATTTAAGTTAATAGCATTTACATTGGCAAAATGACTGCAAATCACAAATCTATTGCTGAAACACAATTGATATCTGCTGATCTATGACTCAGCATCTGATATCACACAACCACTTTTAGGAAATTTAAAACTATATTTGAAGCACTTTTTACCAATAGAAAGTATACAGATGACACCTATATAAATAGTTTTCTGTCACTTCAAGTTACTTAATCCAAAGTTAACGTATATATTGAATAACATTTGTACGTTGAATTTGTATTAGTAGACGATAAACAAATACCAATTTACGTTATATATCCTTTACTAGATCTTCCCAGCCTATAGGTTTGAACCTATAAAAAGAAAAGCTCCCATGATCTGCAAACTACTGATCAGTCGATCAAGTGAAACAGGAGCCTCAGGTAAGTAGCAGATGAAGCTAAGATACCCTTTAACATACTTAGAAGATATATTTAAATGAAGAAACAATAAGTGCCTCATTTTAACATAAAACATCCCGACAAGGTAAATCAGCCACACTACGGGAATGGGCTGAAAATTTAATAGGCTGGCTATGAAGGAGTGATGCTAGAACTGTGAAATCTCGCATGCATTAATTTCAACTCTTCTTATTAATAACTGCATTGTTTCTTTCCAGGTCAGC